CCTTACGTGGCCATGGAATATCGGGGTAGGTTTTGTGAATTTTTATGTACTGTCATTTTCCCTTTAGGTGAAACTGTTTTCATGTTTTTTGGCACTCAAGGTTGTATGATTGAAACCAAATTCTTCAATCGTTTGACTTTTTTTCGGCTTGCGCATTCATATATGACCACTTGTGTATTTTGACTATAATAGGTCAGTTTTACTGTCTACCTTGCCCCGCCAGAATACCCTAATCAGGGGAATTTATTCATCACAGGTAATATAACTGTTGATCATCAGAAGAACCTATCAGGACTTTTGGCCTCATATGTATGCAATCAATGAGTTACTGGATCCAATCCGAATTTCTCAGGCGTCAAAAACCGCTAGAGGCACTCGTTTTCCCATGCTGAGGAATACACAGTGGTAGGGCCAAGCATAAAGCACATCGGATTGCAGACCCATTCGAGTCGNNNCTGAGCTTTGACTGCACAGGATCGGCTTCTTTGTCGTCTTTCGACTAGGTTTGATCTCTGTTGATCATACTAATTCTCGTTTATTTTGCGTGAGCCTGGCAGTGGTCAGTGGAGTTCGCTTCACTGTTTCTGGTTGTACAGTGTTGATGACGATAGACCTGATGGTGATGACATGTGAACACAATCTGATTAAGAACAGATTTGACTAGCTCCCGATGGTATGCGTGAAATGATCACATGCGCACATGGGTTAAGAATGTACATTGAATACAATACGAATTTGATCGCCCGCGAGATGGATATGCGAATAAAGAATGTATTACTCAAGCCCGGTGCTATATTGAAAATGAGAAATACAAATCGGAAGACATGACATGAGCAGCAGGATTGGTTAGAATGTGTAACCATCTGTCAATAGGATAAGCACAATAATATTAGTGAGCACATAAATTATAGATAGTTGTGCTTCTTTGAGGGTGACAAACTAACGAAAACACAAATGAATCCTGAAAAATTGGGCATTAACCGGATAAAAATGTTGATGTATTTGTGCGATAAACTCTCAGTCAACGTGATATATAACATATGGTATTTTATAATCTTCTTGCGGGCAGTTATTGGTTTCTTCTCAATAGGTCACAAACATACTTTTAATAAAACACCGTATGGTGACAAGACTTATTTCTAATCATTTTTCATTTGTGGCTAATAGATCACATTGTACAGAAATAGGTTCTTCTGCCCAAGTGGATAGCCAGATTGTTTTCTGGCTGCATAGTCAAACGTCACGTGAGTGAGGGTAAGACTGTCGGGATAGAAAGCAGGCCGGTATACGCAAGACTTTTGTTCACAGATGACTACTTGAGAGTAGTCAACTGGGGTAAGTCAAACCGTGTGTCGTAGTCGATCCGCCATCAGTTTGCGACTCAAAGAAACAGGTTATGTTCTGTGTTTATTCATTCATTTGTTCTTTCAGGGATAAGTAATTCCGCGGCACGAGCAGAAGCTTGAATCTGTGAGTCTACGAGCCTCAATCAGCTAGGTTGTACACGGGGGTCACAAAGTCAGTTACACGAGCAATCTATACTCAAATCAGCGTGTAGGGTCTCTAAATTGGCTTGATTGTACCAGGTGTGTGAACAACAATTTAAGTGGATTAAATACCGTTTCTGGGACACAGTAGAAACAGTGGAAATTCACAATCATTTCAACCCTTTGGTGGGCACAAGGACAATTTGTGAAGTCCTCGTATCTTCCATGACCCGTTACCCAAAACTATTTTCTCACACAACAATTTTTCCTTCCTGTTGGACGAACACCCTGAAGGCAACTGTTCCGATTAAATCAAATGCTCTATCAGGCGAATGACTTGATTTTAGTCTGAAGAATGTTCTGGCAATTGAGCTGCCAACCGTCAGTCTACTATTATTCAACTAAAAAGCCACTTTCCAGTGTGTTTTAATGAATGGAGTGATTGAGAAATGTAATCAATAGCTTCGTTATTTGTGAGGTGATGAGATAATTGATACACCAAGAACGTAAAATGAGATGCTGAAATATCCTATACATCAAACCAAGTGATATCCGAGTGACTTTACAAAATTTCCTGGTAAACAAGTGATCGATTTTCGTGATTGACGTCGCAGTTCAGATTTGCGTCTTTGGTATTAATCTGCTAAGTCGTTCGCGTATTTATACACAGGATATGTATCTTCTTCATACAATATCTAATTAACGAAGATGAGATTATTTGTTTCTGCAGCTCCTCCTTAATCAGTTGATTTTTGCATGTTTAGGTGTAGAGGTTTGTGGTTAAAATTTTATCCGAAGCAAAAAACACTTGGGGAGTCTATTTTTCGAGAATAGTTATACCAGTAGGTTAGTGGGTGAAGGGGTGAACTAAGTTTAATTTAATTTTGTTTTGAGTTTCAGTAAATTGCCTGCCACATTTACCGCGTCGTGTGTAACACCCTAACAAATAACTTTCCCTTTATTCGGGTATTTCACTGTCCCAGTTTTTCATAGTAACCAAAAATTATTAATTGTTTATGTTACATTGAGTGTACATAGAACGAGAAAATTGGGTAGCTTTCACATATGTTAAT